CCGTCATCCATTTACTCAAGATCGTTAGGTATGCTATGGACTGTTTTCTTCTGGTCCTCTTGCCGCTCACTACATTCTAATCTCAGTATCCTTCTGTAGAACCACAATTCTGTTGCTTCAAGTCTTTTCTTCATCTGTGAGGAGATTGCCCAGCATTCAATGCTATATAGGAGGACTGACATTACGTAAGAGTTCAGTACTCTTTTATTTGTTTCTATTGCTTCAAACCACTTCATCAGTGAGGAGATTGTCCAGCATTCACTGTCCAAGACTGGTATTATTAACAGTTCAGTACTCTTTTTTCTGCCATTTCCAGCATTCACTGCCATATAGGAGGACTGATATTATGTAACAGCTCAGTAATCTTTTATTTGTTTCTGTTCCTTCAAGTCTCTTATTCATCTGTGAGGAGATTGTCCAGCATTCACTGCCATATAGGAGGACTGATATTACGTAACAGTTCAGTAATCTTTTCTTTGGTTCTGTTGTTTCAAGTCTCTACTTCATCTGTGAGGAGATTGTTCAGCATTCAATGCCATATAGGAGGACTGATATTACGTAACAGTTCAGTACTCTTTCTTTTTCTTATGTTTCAAGTCTCTATCTGTGAGGAGATTGTTCAGCATTCAATGCCATATAGGAGGACTGATATTACAAAGTTCAGTACAGTTCTGTTGTTTCAAGTACTACTTTCTGTGAGGAGATTGTCCAGCATTCACTGTATAGGATTGATATTACGTAACAATTCAACTCTTTTCTTTTATTCTGTTGCTTTAAGTCTCTTCATCTGTGAGGAGATTGTCCAGCATTCACTGCCATATTGGAGGAGATTGTAACAGTTCAGTTCAATTTGGTTCTGTTCATTCAAGTCTCTACATCTGTGAGGATTATGATTCATTACAGAAGGACTGATTTACATAACAGTTCAGTACTCTTTTCTTTGGTTCTGTTGCTTCAAGTCTCTTCTTCATCTGTGAGAAGATTGTCTAGCATTCACTGCCATATTGAGGACTGATATTACATAACAGTTCATTCTTTTCTTTGGTTCTGTTCATTCTGCCATACATTATCATTCAAGGACTGATATTACATAACAGTTCAGTACTCTTTTCTTTGGTTCTGTTGCTTCAAGTCGCTTCTTCATCTGTGAGGAGATTGTCCAGCATTCAATGCCATATAGGAAGACTGATATTGCGTAACAGCTTAGTACTCTTTTCTTTGTTTCTAACGAAATGTTAGTTTCTTTATGTATCCAGTTTTTTGAACCAGCTAAAGATTTGATTTCTGTCGGTAGACACATTTTGTCCGACACGAAAATCCGAAGGCACATTGGGATAGCAAAAGACACCGTCCATAATATAGCCAAAGGAAAACAACGTATCACATTCCTGTTGAACGTAAATGGACGGAGGAAGAAAGTTTAGGAGAGCTAGGCGAAAGACAAACTATATTAAGATCTAGAAAGGACATTTGTGGAGAGTCATGATCGTCAACGTACGTTAAAGAAGGGCACGTCGATATAGGTCGGTTGACATTAATTAGCTTAGCTTTTGGAAGGCATTTTTTTGCTATTCCTGTTCGCCTTCAGATTTCCATGGCACAAAATATGTCTACCGACAGTAATTAAATCTTTAGTTGATTGAAAAAAATGGAAACGAGTTCGATCCCTGTCCGGAGGCATGAAGGGTAGTCAAGTCAAACACGTGTACTAGACATAAGGTTTACACTAATAATGAATATATGTGTTTTCTGTGTGTATGGGGGCGGTCTGTATGGATAGATAAGTCACTTAAATAAGCTGCATCAAATTCAACCAACATGCTGTGTTTAAATCAAATAATAAAGTTTCTTTCTAATTCTTTTTATATAATTCTCATTTTTTGATAAATTGTTTGACAAGCACAAGAAAATCACCTTTATGCACAGTGGATAAAGGCAATAGTTAGATCCAGTGTCAGGACCCAAAGTGTGTGAGTTCAATACCCGGTTAAGGCAGTGGAGAACTTTCAGAGGGAAATTAGCAGGAGATAACTGACATCCATTAAACATGGTACGTGGAACTAGTCTACACCAGTGAGCGAAATAAAGGGTTCAGTTCGACATTCCAACCACCTGAAGAAGGCCTGAGAGTACAACGGCCGAAACGTTGTTATAAATATGGCGACAAAGTCCGAATAATGTAAATAATGTATATACGGTAAAGTTCATAATTTTGTTTTGTTTTACACGAATATTTAAATTTAGAAATGTAACATACTAAAAATCTTTAGTTCTTGATAATGAGCGATAATGAGAGATGTAAGGCAAAAAATTGTAATGACCAATAATGACCGATAATGATTGATAATGACGGATAATTACTGATACGAGTCAAATAACTGATAATGACCGATAAAGACCGATAATGATTGATAATGGCCGATGCGAGGCAAAAAAAAAAATCTACTAATGACAGATAATGATCTCACATCGATAATTATCGACTAATGCGAGGCAAAAAAAAAAATCCCCTAAAAACTGTTTAATGACAGTTTTGAAATTGATAATGACCGATGCGAGTCCAAAATTTGATAATGAACGGTAATGAACGATACGGGACACAAATTTATAATGACCAAAAGATGATTGATAATAACCGATGAAAAGCAAAAATATTAATAATGACCGATAATGACTAATAATGATTAATAAGGACCAATGCGAGGCAATCCCCCCCCTGAAAATGACCGATAATAACCTCGCATCGGTCATTATCGACTGATGAGTGGCAAAAAATTCCCTAAAAACTGTTTAAAGAAAATTTTGAAATTGATAATGACCGATAATGACTGATAATGACCGATGCGACTCCAAAAACTGATAATCACCGATACGTGGCAAAAATTTATAATGACCAAAAGATGACTTATAATAACCGATGCGACGCAAAAACTTGATGATGATCGATAATGACTGATAATGGCCAATGTGAGTGAAAAAATACATAATGAACGATAATGTGTGATAATGACCGATACGAAGCATATATTGATAATGACTGATAATGACCGATAATGACTGATAATGACCGATGCCAGTCCAAGAACTGATAATGTCTGATAATGACAGATACGGGACAAAAATTATAATGATCAAAAGATGACTGATAATGACTGATGCGACGCAAAAATCGAGTGTGACAGAAAATGACTGATAATGGCCGATGCGAGTCAAAAAACTGATAATGACCGATTATGACTGATAATGACCGATTCGAGTCCAAAAATTGATAATGAAAGATAATGCCTGATAATGAACGATATAAGGCAAACATTGATAATAACTGATAATGACCGCTGCGAGTCCAAGAATTGATAATGACCAATAATGACTGACACGAGACAAAAATTTATAATGACCAAAAGATGACTGATAATGACCGATGCGACGCAAAAATTGAATGTGACCGATTATGACTGATAATGACCGATGCGAGTCCAAAAATTGATAATGAAAGATAATGTCTGATAATGACCGATACAAGGTATTGATAATGACTGATAATGACCGATGCGAGTCCAAGAATTGATAATGACCGATAATGACCGACACGAGACACAAATTTATAATGACCAAAAGATGATTGATAATGACCGATGCGAAGCAAAAAATTGATAATGACCGATCATGACGGATACGAGGCAAAAAATGATAATTAACGATAATGACTAATAACGACCAATGCGAGGCAAAAGAAACTGATAATGAGCGATAATGACTGATAATGACCGATGCGACGCAAAAAAAACTGATAATGGCTGATCAAAAGATGACGATAATGACCGATGCGACAAAAAATGATAATTAACGATAATGACTAATAACGACCAATGCTAGTCAACGCCCCCCCCCAAAAAAAAGTGATAATGACCAATAATGACTGATAATGACTGATAATGACCGATAATGACTGATAATGACCGATACGGGACAAAAATTATAATGATCAAAAGATGACTGATAATGACTGATGCGACGATTGATAATGTCTGATTATGACGATACGAGGCAAAAAAATGATAATTAATGATAATGACTAATAACGACCAATGCGAGGTAAAAGAAACTGATAATGAGCGATAATGACCGATGCGAGGTCATTATCGACTTATTCGAGGCAAAAGAAAATTCCCTAAAAACTGTTTAATGACAATTTGGAACCGTCAACGTAAGAATATATTCGGAAGTTAGAAAAATTCGATAATAAAAATAACAAAAATAAACAAACTCACCATATTGGTTGCATTCAATAAAACTTGTTTTGGTGTGTGCGTAAGTTGTTACGAAAAAATGTTGGGGAAATTGCGCAGACTGATTCGTTTGGGCAACTATCTGCGTTTCTCGTGTCTCGCCGGATATGCCATGCATTTGACCAAATTGATCTAGCAGCAAATAAAGGAATTCTTTTTTATTAAATTTTACTGTATCACGTAGAGCTATTACATGCATAAATTTCTCAGAAATTCGGGAAAGCAAATCGTGTACAAACACAACACACACACATATGCACACACAGTGATATACATATATTAAATATATGTAATATATGTGTCTATACAACTGTATGTTCGTGCTCATTAGATTGCTTTCCTATACACACACACACATGTATATATCTATATCTACCTATCTATCTATCTATCTATCTATCTATATATATATATATAAAGATACAGTCCAATTTTACTCGATGATAAAAATTTATAAAAGAAAAAATCCATTGAATTAATTTAATTCTATATATCAAGAAAAAATGTGGAAATAATTTATATCGTGTGTGTGTGTGTGTGTGTGTGTGTGTGTGTGTGTGTGTGTGTGTGTGTGTGTGTGGATTAACTGAAGGTACATTTTTTAAATGTATCTTGGGAATATTTCGAAATTGAAAATTCTGTAAAGAAATTCAATTTTTATTTTCCAGGAAAAAAAGAAGACATTCGAAGATGACAATTTAAAAATAATACAAGTTTGAAGAAAAAGAAAAAGAAAGAAAAAAAAAGAAAAGAAAAAAAGAAAAGAAAAAAGATAGCCCGCCATTTGTGCATGTCCCTATAAGTCTGATTCGGATTTTACTTATTTGCTTACATGTTTTTTCTTTTGTTTTTCCTCCATTTTTTTTTCTTTTTTATTTTTCGTTTCATTTTACATTTATTATTTCTCTTCGATATCGAAAGTCCATTTCCTTTGCAATGACCCCCCCCTTTTAACGCTTCCCTTAACTTCCTGTCCTTCTCTTTTTTTTTCTTCTCCTCCATCTTTTGAGCTATCATTCTTTCTTTTTTTTTCGTCTCCATCATCCTCTTCATTTCCTCTTTCTCTCTTTCTCCTTAACTCTCCTCTTGCTATCTCTTTACCCTCTTTGTCTTTCGCATAACATTCCCACTGACCCAACGTCTCTTAGACTTCCTCTTTCTTTTCTCATTCTCTTCTCTTTTCCTACACCCCCTTCATTTTTTACTGTCACATCAAATTCAAACACCGGTTTTCGTACAATCACCGAAGTTAAGCAACGTCGACTCTAGTCAGTACCTAGATGGGTGACCGTTTAAGAATACGAGTCGCTCTAAGCTTGTATACGCGGTTGGTATAATGGGCTTACAGCCATATCACGTTAAAACACCGGTTCTCGTACGATAACCGAAGTTAAGCAACGTCGACTCTGGTCAGTACCTAGATGGGTGACCGTTTAGGAATACCAGGCGTTCTAAGCTTGTATACGCGGTTGGTATAATGGGCTTACAGCCATATCACGTTGAAACCGCCGGTTCTCGTACGATAACCGAAGTTAAGCAACGTCGACTCTGGTCAGTACCTAGATGGGTGACCGTTTAAGAATACGAGTCGCTCTAAGCTTGTATACGCGGTTGGTATAATGGGCTTACAGGCATATCACGTTGAAGCACCGGTTCTCGTACGATAACCGAAGTTAAGCAACATCGACTCTGGTCAGTACCTAGATGGGTGACCACTTGGGAAAATATAGTGCCGTAATCTTGGATGTGTGAGTGGTGTAATGAATAATAAATTATTAATTTGAGAGCCAAGTTGCATTTCTAGTTGGGTTGGCTATATTTATTTATGTGCAAATACCCTTCGAAAGATATTAATCCACCTCTTGTCCCCCTAGCTATGGGTTAATTAGTAAGACTTCTATCATTAAATCATTATTATCGCAACCAACCATAAATAATACTTGCAATTTAAAAAGAAATATTTGCTGGTTTTAAATAACCTGCAAAACGGTTTATAAGCCGTAAAAAATGAATTAATCAACCAATCTCTCGCATACCCACCAACACTTACCTTTCCTCCTCTCTTTTTTCACCCCTCCTTGTTTTCTCATTTTCTTCTCTTTATCCACCCTCTTTCTTCCGTTTTTCTTGTTTCTCTTTCACTCTCTTATATCTTTTCCTCTGCCCATCCCTTATATCCACCACTTCGTATCCAAAACTAGTTTTTCCTTTTCTCTTTCCTTATCTATTTCCCCCTCTTTATTTGTTCCTTATTTCTCTTCAATTCTCTTCTGTCTCTCTCGTTTCTTCTTCTCTTCACTTAGATCCCCCCCACTTCGTATCCAAAACTACTTTTTCCTTTTCTCTTTCTCCCTCTTTCCATACTTAATTCCCCCCTCTTTATTTGTTCTCTATTTCTCTTTCTTTCTCGTCTTTCTTTCCCGTTTTTCTCCTTCTTCTCTTCCCTTATATCCGCTTTGCATCCAAAATTACTTTTTCCTTCACTCCTTCCATCTCTTTTTCTAACATCTTTCTCGTCCACCATTTTTGTCTTATTTCTTTTTCACTCTCCTCTTTCTCACTCTCTTTTTCTCTACCGTTGCTTCTTTACTTCCCTCTTCTTATCCCAAATTATTATTTTCTTTTTCTCCTTCCATCTCATTTCTTACCCACCTTCCCCTTTATTTGTTTACTATTTCTCATTCATTCCCCTCTCTCTATACCTTTTTTACTTCTCTTTCCCCTCATCCTTTTTCGTAGACCTAACTGCTCTTACTTTTCCTCTTCTTTCTCGCTTTCAACATTTGTTTTATTTTACCTCCATTTTCCTACCCTCTTACTTTTTCATAACTCTCCTCCTTTTCATTTCTCTTTTGTCTTTTCCCCCTTTCATTCATCTTTCGTTATTCCTTCCCCCCTGCTCCCCCACTCTCATACTATTTTCTTCGCCATATTTTCCTTTCCACGACCTTTTCTATTCATTCTCTTTACCTCCGTCCTCCTCTTCCGCACACTTTCCTCCTACTCTTTTCACCCCTCTTTCTTTTTTTCCTTCTCTTCTTGCCTCTCTTCCATTCTCTTCTCATACACATTTCTTCAATCTTTCCCTATATCAATTCTTCCTCTTTTTATCTTCCCTCTCTCTTTTCACGCCAATTTTTTTTCATTCCCTCCTCTTCCTCCTTCCTCTTCTTTTCACTTTCTCTTCCTTTTCTTGCCTTTCCTTTTCCTCTTCTCTGCATGTTTATCTAATCTTTCTGCCCTCTCTTCTCTTTCTAAATACCTCCTCTCTTTTATCTTTCTTTCTTTTGTTTCTATTCTTTCTGCTTAAGGCCATATCACGATTAAACACCGGCTCCTGTCCAATCAATAAATTTAAACAAACGTCGGGCCTGGTCAATAGTTGGATAGGTGACCGCTCTGGAATACCAGTTGCAGCAATCATGTATGTGCAGATGGTAAAATGCGATTACGGGCACATCACGATTAAACACATGTTCCCGTACGATCACCGAAGTTAAGCAACGTCAAGCCGTGTCAGTAACTAGATGGGCGACCGCTTGGGAATACCAGGTTCTGTAAATTTCGATGTGCGTGTGGTAAAATGAGATTACAGCCACATAAATATGAAACACCATTTCTCGTACGATTATCAAAGTTAAGCAACGTCAAGCCGTGTCAGTAAGTAGATGGGTGACAACTTAGGCGTACCAGCTGATGTAAGCTTGGATCTGCGTGTGGTAAAATGGGATCACAGCCACGTCAATTTGAAACACCATTTCTCGTACGATTACCAAAGTTAAGCAATGTCAAGCCGTGTCATTAACTAGATGGGTGAAAACTTAGATGTACCAGCTGATGTAAGCTTCGATGTGGGTGTGGTAATATGGGATTACGGCCACATCAATTTGAAATGCAATTTCTCGTACGATAACTAAAGTTAAGCAACGTCAAGCCGTGTCAATAACTCGATGGGTGACAACTTAGGCGTACCAGCTGATGTAAGCTTGGATGTGCGGATGGTAAAATGCGATTACGGGCACATCACGATTAAACGCCATTTTTCGTACGATTACCAAAGTTAAGCAAAATCAAGCCGTGTCAGTAACTAGATTGGTGACAACTTAGGAGTACCAGCTGATGTCATCTTGGATGTGTGGATGGTGTAATGGATTGCCATTGTTAATCGGAGAACCAAGTTCCAATTCCAGATGGGTTCATTATATTCACTTATAAACAAATCCTTTTGTGAAAAGGCATGAATCCATCTCTTTTCCCTCCTGGAATTGGAATTTGACTCTTCGATTAACAATTCCGATCCATTTACCATAATATCTGGTGCACGTCGAGGCTTGCAGCACCTGGTATTCCTAAGCGGTCACCCATCTAGGTACTGACCAGGCTTGACGTTGCTTAACTGCGATGGTCATACGTGAATGGTTGTTTCACCGTGATGTGGCCGTTAACCAATTTCAGAGATGAAGTATTGGTTACTATTCGGACCATCACGTTCACTAATCCTGATTGCTAAGATAAACCATTTTATTCTCAGGTATTCTTCAGGTGTTTACCATCGTAATTGTTAGAAGGAACTGAAAACACAATCCTAAACAAGACACAAGGGATAAACTTGTACTCCTGTTCAAAAGACCGTGAGAGATCATGAACCGGACGATAGATGAACCTATTTACTCCGATTAAGAGAGGAAATAGATAATTAATGAATAAAATTTCCTTAGACAAGAGACACGTGGCCTAGTGAATTGATTGGTTTCTGATTTGTTCTTTACGGCTTATCAACCTTTTTTAAGGTTATTTAAAACCGAAACATTTTTTTTTGCTTATAAGAATATTTTGTAGATAACAATTACTTTCTGATACAAATCCAACTTTTTAACCCGTATCTGGGAGGAGAAGACTTGAATATAACTGTAACAGCCTCCAGTTAAACGCTTAAGGCTTTAAAAAATAACTATTTGGTCAGATGGTTATCCGCTAAATAAAACTGGGACTATTCTATTCCGCTGTAACCTTCTGCGGTAGACCAGCGAGGCAGAGGTGAGGCGAGGTAAACGGGTGTCTTCCATTTTGCGTCTCAGCGAGCTGTCTCTCGTCCTTTTCTGTCCGCTTTTTGTGGGTCTCTCTGTTTTCGGCTGCTAGTGATCACTGTCATGTCAGTGTTCTTTGTCTTGTCAGCTTTGTCTAAAAAAGTAATTTATCAAGAACACGGGGTCATGTTCAACTCAGTGACCTTCTCTGTCAGGATCGTTTGACATGGTTCTTGTGAAGTCCACTTCATTTAGCTGATCAAGGCAATAACTGCCGAAACAATTTCTGTAAAATTTTCATATATTTTCACGTAAAAAAATATCGGCTGACACTGATATCGCTACGTAACGAATCCGACTGGAATTCGAATTCGGCTCTCCGATTTCTGACTACGAGCCGTTAACCACTGCACCACCCGCACATCCAAGCTTACAGCACCTCATCTAGGTACTGACCAGCTTCTTAACATTATCTGGTAGGGGTGACAAGTCACATACTCAGGTTCAGTGGTGAAAAAACAAAACGAACGAATGACAGCAAGGTGAATAATACTGGTGAGTATGAACTGATATGAAATTTTACATGGCATCTCAGCTTCAGTCACATTCCCACCGCCATAATGTAGCGTCCCTCTGCACTTTCTATAAATATTTTCATGATATTTGTTCTGGTGAACTCTCCTCTAGTTCTTATTTTTATTCTCCAAATGACACACACAAATTGTGTGTATAGGAACTAATTACGACTTCATAGAGACTTTGTGGTATTATGGTAGCTGTAATAAGAATGGTAAGAGTGTGTTGTTTCGGTGTAAGGATTACTGTGGTATGTTTGAGTTACTAAGCTTAAGATAAGACAGATTGAAGATCAACCCTCCCCTATCACACCTTTGGGCCTTGTGCAACATTTTTGTATTTTTTAAAGATAATATTACTTTCCTCTATGGTACATAGACTTTATGTATTTAGGCGCAGTTTCTTTCTTTTCTTTTTTTTTTTTTTTTGACTCTCCGGTCCACAGGTATGTGCACATGTTTGTTTGAAGTGGGGTGCATGTATACGTATAAAGACACACACACACTCATACATATATAGATGTAGGTAAGTATTACACTGTCAAAGTGTCGGTGACTAAACTGGCTACCCGTCTTCATCTTTTTGCGAGTGAGGCTGGTTGTTACCTGCATTGGCTGGAGCGATAAGACGCGCCTAAACTCTTCTTCAAACCAAAGCATTATCCGCATCCGTCGATCTACATGGTTACTGGAAGCCTTCATCTCTGTAAGTTTTTTCCAAAGAAGAATCTGCTATGTTATTGGTTCTGACCTGCCATCTCGGCCTCGTCACTTTCCCATCGCCATAACGTATTTCCCTTGTGCCTATTCTATATATACTTTAATGGTAATTGTTCTGCTGAACTCTCTTCTACTTGCTATACTTATTCCCCACACATTCAGGGGAAATTGTGCCTATGGGAACTAATTAGGACTTCATAGAGACTTTGTGGTATTATGGTGGCTGTAGTAAGAATGGTAAGAATGTGATGTTTTGGTGTAAAGAATACTGTGGTATGATTGGGTCAGTAATCGTGGCTAGCTAAGTTTAAGATAAGACAGACTGAAGACCATCCTTCCCTGTCCCCACCATTTGGCCTTGTGCCACATTTTTTGTATAAATATTAATTTCCTCTTTTTCTTAAATTACCTAGTCCCGCATCAATTTCGTCCAGTTAACTGATGTTTCTGCCACGATTAATCATGGGAAGATAATTTTGTTTTAGTTTCTTGTATATAAAAATGTAATCATTGCAAATATTCATTAGGGTTTTAAAAGTTTTTATTTTTATTCCCCACACCCACCAGACAAATTGTATATATGAAAATTATTTAGGTGTTCATAGAGATTCTGAGGTATTATGGTGACTGTAGTAAGAATGGTAAGTAAGAATGTGTCGTTTAAATGTAAGGAATACTATGATATGTTTGAGTCAGTAAGTGTGGCTAGCTAAGTTTAAGATAAGACAGATTGAAGACCAGCCTTTCCCTTTCCCTCTTTTGAACTTGTGCCATATTTTTGCATTTTCTCTGTGGTACCTAGACTTTATGAATTTTTTCATCATTTTATATTTGTTGTAGCTAGATGGAACCGTAAGTTCTATGCTAACAGTTTCTTCTATCGTACTTCTTACCCGTCGAACTCTCTTTCGGTATATTGCTTCTCAGTCAACTTTGATCTTCAAATATTTAAAAGCAACGTCGAACGTTATCTTCTGTCTACTTAATTCCTGTTCTTGCACGGTGGAATAATGATTAGCGGCTCGGACTGGGACATCAAATAGCCGAGATCTAACTCCACCCGAGTTCATTACATTTACTAACGTGCTAAAATCCTTGGGTAAGGTATGAATCCATCTTTTCTCCCCACAAGGCAAAATGTACCCTATAGCTTTGGGTGGTAACTTGTCCAGGAGAATAACTTCAAATCTACACTTCTGACGCCTCCGCTTGAAATTTTATTCATTAATTATTTATTTCCTCTCATAATGGGAGTAAATAGGTTCGTCTATCGTCCGGTTCATGATCCCTCACGGTCTTTTGAACAGGAGTAGAGGTTTATCCCTTGTTTCCTGTTTAGGATTGTGTTTTCAGTTCCTTCTAAAATCTACTTCCATACTGTATTTCTAACGTCTCCAACTGGACTCTGAAATATAATTCACTAACTAAATCCTGACCTCGTCAAGTCTAGAGTTACTCGTTATCTTTCCTGCACACCCCCAAGAACATCATTTCTTGCTCATCCGACACCGCACAGTATATATATATATATATATATATATATATATATATCTTAATGAAGCGAGAGCAAGATCTAAAAGGTCAGCCAATCTAACAGTAATCTCATCTCACAATTCTCACACTCATATGTGGCCTCGTTTGTAAATCTCTAGCGTGTCTTAAATGCCACTTAAGATTATCGCATAAACTTTCATAACTGAATCAATAAGCTGGCAGATACTCATACGTCGAAACCGACGAGAGAGTCCATTATTTTATATATATATATATATATATATATATATATATATATATATATATATATATAAGTGTGTGTGTGTGTGTGTGCGTGTGTGTGTGTGCAAATATATAGAAAAATAGGAATGAACACGTTAGGTTAATTATCCGAAGTTCTTTAGTATTTTTGTTTCTATTTTTAAAACACAGTGCTCAATACAAAAGTAGAGACTAAATTATAATTATTTTTAAAAAATATCATTCCCTCGCTACATAAGAGTTCTCATGTTTCAAAAACAGGCGCTAAAATTTCAATTTAATTATAAAAATTAAATTGAATTTAAGTATCAAGCTCAGTTTCATCTTCAAGCGAAATTTTTGCAAAGATTCCCAAAATTTTGCAGGATATTACTGTTTATTATTTTTAGACCAGGGGTAACCAAACTGAGGCTCGCGGGCCAGATCCGATCCCCAATGTCAGTTCATCCGACCCGTCGCTTCACTGTCATAATAATTGCAATTATTGTTATTATCATTCCGCAAACATTACTAATCATTTCTACCACTTTATAATAACTATTTGCTACTGCAATTGTTATTATCATTACCATCCCACCATTACTTTCAATTCTGGGTAGTGGATGCGCACTGCTGATGAGTCCTAAATATAGGACAAAACGGCCGTCCAGTGCTTTCTGCATTCTGTTGAGGTTTCTTTCAGACTCGATTAATTACTTAATCATATTTACACACACACACACATATATGTATATATATATATTTCAAGCCGGAAATCCACAACTACTGCCAGCATTTTGCAGTTCTCAAATATTCTATAAAATTCTTGAATTTGCGAAGCCTTTCGATGACACCTGTGGCTACTTTTGCAGGTTTCATCACCCTCTTATTGATCGTCTGTGTCCCAACGCCCCCTATATGATGCTCCCTGCACACTAAGAGGCACTGACTCCCAGTATGAGGTACACTGGTCTAAACCAGGGGTCACCAAACTTTTTTTTTCTCAGAGGGCCAGATAAATGAAAGAATGACGAGCAAGGACCGGATAAACATTTTGTTCAATACAATACACTGAATTCACAAAAATAAAGACAACAAACATACTTATTTACTAAAAAGTTATCAAAGAAAGTGACATTAGCAATAAAATAGTTATATCACACCAAGTGCACACATATCCGAATCTCGCAAACTAAGCAGCACAAAAGTTTACTAAGATTTGTGAAAATGGCGTTTACCTTTTTTAAGATATAATTAATATTTGATACTTACCTGGCACAGGGTTCCGTCCCTGTACAGGTGGTATCACGCCTACGACTAGCTTAGACCGGCTTTGACCAGTTTGGATGAGCTATGACAAGCCAAGACGAGCTATGACTAGCTTAGA